TCCCATGCAGCTAGGAGGAGAGCAGTTAGTGGAGAGGTGTAAGTCCAACAATTTCTAGATATAAGAAAGAGCTGGAACATAGGCAAGTTCTGAGGATCCTCAGTGAGAAAACTCACTGAACACCTGGAGGGTACAACAGAGCCCACAGATAGATGGCAACTTCCTGGCAGCAGGAATAAAGTAGCTCTAGAATAACAGCTGTTGTAAGGCTTCACCTAAATTCCTTAAAGAATCTGGATATCAGCCCTTTGATAGGTGCATGGTTTGCAAATACTTTCTCCCATTTTGTAGGTTGTTTGTTGACTTTGTTAGTTCCTTTCACTTTGCAGATGCTCTTTAGATTTTAATTAGGTCCCATCTGTCAATATTCGTTTTTCTTCTTATTGCTTTTGGCATATTTGTCATGAAATCTTTGCAGGACCTATGTCTACAATGGTATCTTCTAGGTTTTCTTCAAGAGTTTTTATAGCCCCATGAACACTTTGGGTTTTGTGTTTAAGACTTCAATCCATCTTAAGTTGATTTTTGAACACGGTAAAAGGAAGGGGTCTAGTTTCAATCTTCTGCATTGGATAGCCAGTTATCCCAGCAACATTATTGAAAAGGAGACACTCCAACTGTGAAAAGCTGTTTGGAGATTACTCAAAGAACTTAGAGCAGAAATAGCATTATACCGAGCAAACCAGTGGGTATATTCCCAAAGGAATATGAACCTTTCTACCATAAAGTCCTGTGCATACATATGTCCACCACAGCACTATTCACAATAGTAAAGACATGGAATCAACCTAAGTACCAGCAATGGTAGACTGGAAAAGGAGGAATGAGATCATGTCTTCTGTAGCAACATAAATAGAGCTGGAGGCCATTATCCTAAGCTATCTAATGTGGGACAGAAAATCAAATACTGCATGTTCTCTCTTATAAGTGGGAGCTAAACACTGAGTACATATGGACAGAAAGAAGAGAGCAACAGACACCAGAGTCTACTTGAGGGTGGAGTGTGGGAGGAGGGTGAGGATCAAAAAAGCAGCTATCAGATACTATGCTCATTAATGGGTGGTGAAACGATCCGTACAGTAAACCCCTGCAAGACTCAACTTCCCTATATAATGAACCTACACAAGTACCTCTGAAACAAAGGTAAAAGTTTCACAAAAATAGTGAAGAAAAATACCAAGAATTTCCTAATCAGAAAAATTTTCTTTTAATGTAAAGGTGATGGCTGGGCAAAGTGGCGCTTGCCTGTAATGGCAGCATTTTGGGAAGCCAAGTGGGTTAATCATCTGAAGTTAGGAGTTCAAAACCAGCCTGACCAACATGGTGAAACCCCATCTATAAAAAAAAAAGGATTTGCTTCTTTTTTAATGTAAAAAATGTTCTGCATTTACTTTGTTTCAAAGCCGCAACTATGTGATATAGGCTTACAAAAAGAATAACACAGTCACTGCCTTAAGAAATCAAGTAAGGTTTTATTCTGTTACAGGATCTTTAGTAAACAGATTATATGCACACATATGCTGACAATCTTTCACATTTCTAACATTCAGATCAGACAAAAACCCAACATATTAACAAAGGGAAAAAAAATCAAGGTTGGCTTCAAAAACACTAGATCACATACACAAAAAAGAAACCAAGACTATTAGAGGATAACATCATCTCATTCAGCCAGGGATTATATTTTCAGTTAGGATATTCTGTATAAAAGTAGGAGAAAGCTATTTTCCTAATGCAATAGGTCAGAATGTAAATGCCTGTTTTGTTTGTCTGAAAAAAATTTTCTCAAAAAAAATGCATTATCCAGCCAAAAAACTGGAATCAAAGTTATGACTTCAAGAATAGGCTCAGAAAACCAGAGAAGGGAAAGGCATTTCAGTGAATGACGCTGACTTTCTCTGTTGGCT